AGTAGGCACACACAGACATCAAGAATCAGCATATGAATCTCAGCAATGGTGACAAACAGAACATAAGCTCATTATTTATTCATGCAGCAATGCATGATGGGAGCCATTAATGAGTTTTGATTGGTGGCACCCAGAATGCACTGCAACATGCTTTATAATTGTCACCATTGTTGAGATTCACAGGCTGATTCTTGATGTGTGTGCCTACTCAAAATATTTTTTTAGGAAGTTTCTTTTTTATTTATTGATTTGATAATTTGAATTTCATTGAAAAGTCTAAAAATAGTACGCTCATGACAATGCTGCTATTATTCGAAAGGTTAACTTAAGTGAACAATATAAGTTCAGTGACTCAGGTCAAATGATTGTGAAATAATGATTATGTTAAAACACAACCAACACCATCAGATGACCTTTGTTTATTGTTCATCCGGCTGTTATAACTCATGTACAGCAACCAAACAAAATCTTAAGTTAATGGTCAAGAGCCCAACTAAAACACACACTTATCTCCATAATGGTGACTTAAACATCCGGTTTTCTCCTTCAGAGATTCCGCTTGTTAACATCAGGTGTCTTTAATAATGCTCAATCATCACTCAGTTATTCACTTAATTAACTCTTTAGCTCAGAGTTTAATTGGGTCGCTAATTGTGTTTAACGAAACATAGTTGTGTGGAACCGGTGGAACCTGTTTACATAAAAAAGTTAAGTAAAGCCAACATATCATTTTTTTTGAGTGTATATAGTGAATTATGCGATTTCGGACCAGGCCATTGATTCATCCGGCAATGAAGTATATGAGTGTGTTGAATTAAACTAAATCATTAATTCAAACCGAATTAAACATTTCAAAGTAATTAAACATTTGAAATAGACTGCAGCAATTAACATTTTGTCAGAACATCTATAAATGACATGTTATTTAGTTTAGTTGTCTGTTCAGAATCAAAACAGTTCTATCACTAAGTGTTTTCTCACATAATAGGAATGATAAAAGTGATCAAATAAATACTCAAATTAATACAGTTTAATGTCCATGTATTCAGCAGAATAGGGTTTAGTCAGCCAGACATTATCATAAACATGTTTTCCTGCAGGGTTTTCTCATAATGAGCGTCTGATATTACATTACTCCTTACATAATACCGCCTATTATGACTTTAATGAATTTGACCAATCTAATTGTGTGCTTTAATTTGTTTGTGTGCTTGTAATGGGCTTTCTGGCTCCAGAACTGGTGGAACTGGTCTGTCGCTGTCACGTGATCGCCCTCAAGAAACCACCTGACCCAGACGGCTGAGATTATCACAGATTACCAGAGCTAGATTCGTCCCGGACTGTAAACACACACGTACAGTAGTGTTGAAATCTGTTGCTGTCTGGTTCCTTCAGTATAATGAATCTTGTGGCAATATAAGCTTTATGCAATGCAACTGTGTTGATGTTTTTTTGAAAATTTCCCTGCACTAGATTATTTTTTGATTGCTTTATTTTAACTTTGTTATAATGTGGTGCATTGGCGAATTCACAGCAACAAGCAAACATTGTTAAAATAGCTTAATGTTCTTTTTCATTCATAACTTCTTCTTTTTTGTTGCCAGATGTTGTTAATGTATTTCTGGTTCTCTTTAAGGCGACCGATTACAGAGTGTTGAAATTGCAGTTAAATCAAAAAATTTTAGTCTTCCTATATTCATTATTTGGTAACTCTTTACTTAAAGCCTTTCTGTATAATGCATTATAAAATAATATTTTTTTAATGTAGTCATTATAGCTTGTAATGGACCTTATAATGCATTGTATGGTCTCGTGAATAATTGTAACTATAGAGTTATAAAACATTATAATTCTTATCTAGTCATTGAACACCTTTAATGCATTAAAACACACGGCAAACAACCAATTTTAGAATCTGAAAATATTATAATCCATTTTAACTTTGGTTACACTTATTTATGAAAAGATATAATGCATTGCATTGTACATTATGAAAAACTTTATAATGCATTATACATAAGTGCTTTAAGTAAAGTGTTATGCATTATTTCTATAATGAATTTATAATCTCCTATAATTTCTATAAGGAATATACACTGTTCTAGCTGCTAAAATCCACTTTAAGATAAATATAGTTCCTGTGTAGATAAATACATTACAAATAAAATGGAAAAGGATTTGTTTTTCAGGAATCTGTCGCATTTTTTGATTTAAGAAGTAAATCAAGTAAAACTTTTTATTTATTTTTTTAATTGAAATAACAATAACAATACCAATAGGGAAATACAGAGTCATACAAAACACTTTAATTTACTAAAAAAGTCCTGTTACCCATGTACTACATACTAGCTATATGTAGGCTACTTATTATAGTAATTACTGGGTAATAACTAGGTACTAACCTGAACCTGCCCCTAACCCATGTACTTACCTTATATTAGCCAGTGCTTTCTAGGTAAGTACACTGTAAGTACACGTACTGTACTGTAAAAGGAAGCCTCACCACTAAAATAAGATGGCAAGTAGCCTACAACTTAGTCATAGTTCTGAATGATTCGTTCATCAGTTGTTCACATTGAATAAATTGATCTGTGTACAATTATTCGATATCGCAACAGTAATAATCACAGAAATAGGATACCCTAAGTCTAAGAATAGCCAACATTAAAATACGGATTCGGATTTCGGAAACCTGTATGGTCTAGTTGAATTCAAGAATCAATTCGGCAGGTTCAAACGATTCACTAAAGAGAATCGATTCTGTTAACGATTCGTTCGCGAGCGCAATAGGGATGATGTCATGTGTAAAGCTCCACGCTGGTTCGAGGCGGTGGGAGGAGCTTAATCCGCCAGTTCAGCTGCCAGTGACACTTCCAAACCAGTTTGGGAAGTTCCCGAGAGAGGAACCGGCGGAGCGGCGTGTTTCCCGCAGAACTCACTCGACTCTTTCAATGAAGCGGTGTTTTCGCTCGAGCTCGTTCAGAGAATGCACTGGGATCAGCTGTTGCGCGCGAGCAATGGGAAGGTGAGAGGACACAAATGTGATCTTTAGACATGTTATATTAATAGACGAGAGTCTACACATTGAGCCGTTCATTAGACCGCCGGGGAATGTAAAGTTTGAAGCGTTATCTCCAGGGCTCGGGATGTTGTGGTGAGGTCATGAGTGATTGTGTCAGTGATTGGTCATGCTGCACCTGTGTTGTGTTGTCTTTGTTTCCCTTTACGTCAACTTGACTCTCTTTCTTGAGTAATATCAGAGTCAATGCATGCTTATAACCTTAACCTTTAATACAAAAAGTTACATTTCCGTGGTTTATATAAAATATTGGTAACACTTTACAATAAGGTTCATTAGTTAACATGAACTAAGAATGAACTATACTTCTTCAGCATGTATTAATCTTTGGGGGAAAAAGAACAATCTTAGTTAATATTAATTTCAACATTAATTAATTTCAAAATCAAAAGTTGTATTATTTACATTAGTTAATGCACTGTGACCTAACATGAACAAACAATGAACAGCTGTATTTTTATTAACTAACATGAACAAAGATTAATAAATACAGTAACAAATGTATTGCTCATTGTTTGTTAATACATTAACTAATGTTAATAATGAACCTTATTGTAAAGTGTTACCAGAATATTTCATAATTATTGCATACTTGCGTAAAATCAGTAATTAACGAACATTCAAATAGGTAGAAATGCGGTTAAGATGTTTTCACACACCCCTAGATGAAACCCCTGGATTTATGTTGATTAACAGGAGTCATAATTACTCATATACAGGTCCGATACACAGACAGATCTGGACTATATGATCAGACAGGCTTTTTGAGCGTTTCTGACCTCAATATTCAGCTCGTTTTGTCTAAAGCGATTGTCAAACTAAACTATGAGGTCGACACATCCTGTACATCCTGTGCTGAACAATGTTTTTGTTAGATGAGTATCTTCGTCTTTTTTCTCTTTATTTCCATTTAAAAAAATGTAATTTAAACAAGTTTACCTGAAACACAAACTTGCCATAAAATACTGTTTTCAGTTCTTTGAATGTTTATGTAGTTTAGAAAGATATTATATATTTTATATATATATCTAAAATAAAAGTTTGTATTTATGTGTGTATATTTGTGGATAATATATATATATATATATATATATATATATATATATATATATATATATATATGTATGTATGTGTATATGTATGTATGTGTGTTTGTATATATGTTTGTGTGTATATAATATATATATATATATATATATATGTATGTATGTGTATATGTATGTATGTGTGTTTGTATATATGTTTGTGTGTATATAATATATATATATATATATATACATATACATACACAAACATATATACAAACATACAGCATACAAACACACACATATATATATATATATATATATATGCAAACATATACAATACAGTATACAAATACACACCTGTGTGTGCGCATGTGTGTGTTTGTATACTGAAAAAAATAATCTATATATATAAACACAAACCTTTATGCTAGATACGTTTTTAATCGATTTGCTAGCACTAATATGTTCAAACATGTATACAAACACACACACACACACACACACACACACACACACACACACACACACACACATACACACACATATATATATATATATATATATACATACGTGTGTGTGTGTGTACTATACATCATTCTAATATGGTGATATGATGCTCAAGAAACATTTATGATTATCATCAATGTTGAAAACAGTTGTGTACAATTATTTTCTTCAGGATTATTCGATGAATAGAAAGTTCAAAGAACAGCATTTATCTGAAATAGAAAGTGTAATTTTCGAGATTTGGATGTTGAACTAACATAGCCTCTGTCTGTGTGCTGATTGCAGAAGCGGGCGATTGCTTCATTGTGTCAGCAATAAGTCACACAAAGACCCATTTTCCACGAACTGACACGACTTCTCTTCCTCTTTCCTGTGTGTTCCTGCAGATCGAGAGGCTGGAGGGCGGTCTCTCTCCGGCGGTGTCGTACGGGGCCGACGGGTCAGTGCTGGGGCCCGAGGACAGCAGTCTGGACCCCCAGCGCACACGCCAGGCCATCGCTCAGCTGCAGCAGAAGGTCCTGAAGCTCACCGAGCAGCTGCGCATCGAGCAGGCGTCCCGGGACGACAACGTGGCCGAGTACCTCAAGCTCGCCAGCAATGCCAACGACAAGCAGCAGAGCACCCGGATCAAACAGGTCTTCATTATCTCACTTTTTCATTGCATCTTGGGCACTGTTGTCTTTAAAGGGTTAGTTCAACCCAAAAATGAAAATGATGTCATTAATGACTCTCCCTCATGTCGTCCCAAGCCCGTAAGATCTTCGGGACACAGTTTAAGATATTTTAGATTTAGTCCGAGAGCTTTCTGTCCCTCCATTGTAAATGTATGTACGGTATACTGTCCTTGTCCAGAAAGGAAATAAAGACATCATCAAAGTAGTCCATGTGACATCAGTGGGTTAGTTAGAGTGTTTTGAAGCATCGAAAATACATTTTGGTCCAAAAATAACAAAAACTACGACTTTATCCAGCATTGTATTGTCTTCCGGTTCTGTTGTGGATCCGTGTTCAGTGCCGCCGCTGACCATGAAACAGTTATGATACCAATATTTTAGATACCAGTGAAAATTCACAATTTTCAGGTATCGAAATGACTTTATAGAAAGTAATCAAATGTAAAATAACACTGCACGTGAACGAGAGCTCAAGTATTCGTGTGCTGTCCGAGACACGGATCTCTGGGCGTAGCTTCGGGTTTTTGACCACAGAAAACTTCCCACACAGTGTGTAAGTGATGATTTGCCTCTCATTGTGCTTGAATATATTTTAATTGGCATGGCTTAAACTTTTGTGACGAGCATCCCGAGGATTGTTCACGTTTGTTCATGTTCTTACCACATTGCAATTGACACCGTTAATATACATATACTCGCCAACACCGATTACTAATCGCATTTGCCTCTTGGCGACTGTTAGTTTTAGACCCTGGTTAGACTAGTTTTCAGGTAGAATATGTTGCTCTCAGGCCCTGTCCCAAATGGCACACTAAGCACTCGCTGTCTTCCTACGAAACCGCACTTTCGTGACGAAACGTAGGCTCGGCAAACGTGCGCATCCAGGGCGCATATTGACCGCAAAGCACCTCTCTGAGACCTAAAAAGACAAATGGGACACCCTACGGTCTCATGCACTTAACTGACACATGCACACAGCAGCCATTATAAGTCCACAGACCGAAAGTGCATATGAAGTGTGCCATTTGAGACAGTCCCTCAGTATGATGGGTCCCTCACTCTCCCTCCATCTTTTAATCCTCATTCTTGTCTGTTTTTTATTTTCTCCCTGTCTTGCTCTTTCACACAACCCCACAACGGGTTTCTCCAGAGAGGCTATATTCACTCACCTAAAGGATTATTAGGAACACCATACTAATACTGTGTTTGACCCCCTTTCGCCTTCAGAAGTGCCTTAATTCTACGTGGCATTGATTCAACAAGGTGCTGAAAGCATTCTTTAGAAATGTTGGCCCATATTGATAGGACAGCATCTTGCAGTTGATGGAGATTTGTGGGATGCACATCCAGGGCACGAAGCTCCCGTTCCACCACATCCCAAAGATGCTCTATTGGGTTGAGATCTGGTGACTGTGGGGGCCATTTTAGTACAGTGAACTCATTGTCATGTTCAAGAAACCAATTTGAAATGATTCAAGCTTTGTGACATGGTGCATTATCCTGCTGGAAGTAGCCATCAGAGGATGGGTACATGGTGGCCATAAAGGGATGGACATGGTCAGAAACAATGCTCAGGTAGGCCGTGGCATTTAAACGATGCCCAATTGGCACTAAGGGGCCTAAAGTGTGCCAAGAAAACATCCCCCACACCATTACACCACCACCACCAGCCTGCACAGTGGTAACAAGGCATGATGGATCCATGTTCTCATTCTGTTTACGCCAAATTCTGACTCTACCATCTGAATGTCTCAACAGAAATCGAGACTTATCAGACCAGGCAACATTTTTCCAGTCTTCAACTGTGCAATTTTGGTGAGCTCTTGCAAATTGTAGCCTCTTTTTCCTATTTGTAGTGGAGATGAGTGGTACCCGCTGGGGTCTTCTGCTGTTGTAGCCCATCCACCTCAAGGTTGTGCGTGTTGTGGCTTCACAAATGCTTTGCTGCATACCTCGGTTGTAACGAGTGGTTATTTCAGTCAAAGTTGCTCTTCTATCAGCTTGAATCAGTCGGCCCATTCTCCTCTGACCTCTAGCATCAACAAGGCATTTTCGCCCACAGGACTGCCGCATACTGGATGTTTTTCCCTTTTCACACCATTCTTTGTAAACCCTAGAAATGGTTGTGCGTGAAAATCCCAGTAACTGAGCAGATTGTGAAATACTCAGACCGGCCCGTCTGGCAGCAACAACCACGCCACGCTCAAAATGGCTTAAATCACCTTTCTTTCCCATTCTGACATTCAGTTTGGAGTTCAGGAGATTGTCTTGACCAGGACCACACCCCTAAATGCATTGAAGCAACTGCCATGTGATTGGTTGATTAGATAATGGCATTAATGAGAAATTGAACAGGTGTTCCTAATAATCCTTTAGGTGAGTGTATATATAAATGAACTAAATTAATAACTTTTTTACAACAAAAATGAAACATCACTGAACTTACTTGTTGGTGGCTGCACTGTGACGCTATTTTCTACTAGAAACAAACTTTGTTGCATTATTTTCCTGTTATCTCTGTAAAGCTGCTTTGAAACACTCTGTATTGTAAAAAGTGCTGTATAAATAAAGCTGACTTGACTATACTTGACATTACCATTTTTAATCCTCATCCTTGTCCGTGTTTTGATTTTCAACCCCACAACGCCTCCTCAGGTGTTCGAGAAGAAGAACCAGAAGTCGGCGGCGAGCATCGCGCAGCTTCAGCGTAAGCTCGAGCATTACCACCGGCGCCTGCGCGAGGCGGAGCACAGCGGTGTGCAGCGGCAGCCCAAAGATGTCCTGCGGGACATGCAGCAGGGCCTGCGGGACGTGGGCGCCCGGGTCATCACGGGCCTCAGCGAGGGAGTGGTCGACAGCGTGAAGGGAGGCCTGTCCAGCTTCTCCCACGCCACACACTCCGCCGCCGGAGCCGTGGCCTCCAAACCCCGCGAGATCGCGTCGCTGATCCGCAACCGGTTCGGGAGTGCCGATAACATCAGCGTCCTCGAGGACAGCGTGACCGAACACGAACGCTCTCTGGGATCCGCCGCCGGACTCCTGCAGAAGTTCGGGAGTGACGAGGACTGTTCGAGCGCGGCCTCCAGTGTGACGGGAGCTCCCGGAGGTCCTCCGAGCTCCAGAGGGAACACACTGGAGAGGGGCCGCGGCTGGGACGTGTTTCTGCAGGAGGTGCAGGAGCTGCGGGACGCTCAGGCTCAGCTGGAGGAGACCCTGGAGAAGCTGAAGAGCGGGTGTCTGAAGGAGTGTACGCTGATGATGCAGGCGCTGCAGGAGGAGAGGTTCAGGTACACACGACACACACTCACTCACTCACTCACTCACTCACTCACTCACTCACTCACTCACACACACACACTCACTCTATCACTCACTCACTATCTCACTCTCACACACACACACTCTCACTCACACGCTCACTCACACACTCTCACTCGCTCACTCACTCACACTCACTCGCACCCTCACTCACACTCACTCACACTCACTCTATCACTCACTCACACTCACTCTATCACTCACTCACTATCTCACTCTCACACACACACACTCTCACTCACACGCTCACTCACACACTCTCACTCGCTCACTCACTCACACTCACTCGCACCCTCACTCACACTCACTCACACGCTCACTCACTCACACTCACTCGCACGCTCACTCACACACACTTACTCGCACGCTCACACACACTCACTCGCACGCTCACTCACTCACTCACTCACTCACTCACTCACACACACTCACTCTATCACTCACTCACTATCTCACTCTCACACACACACACTCTCACTCACACGCTCACTCACACACTCTCACTCGCTCACTCACTCACACTCACTCGCACCCTCACTCACACTCACTCACACTCACTCTATCACTCACTCACACTCACTCTATCACTCACTCACTATCTCACTCTCACACACACACACTCTCACTCACACGCTCACTCACACACTCTCACTCGCTCACTCACTCACACTCACTCGCACCCTCACTCACACTCACTCACACGCTCACTCACTCACACTCACTCGCACGCTCACTCACACACACTTACTCGCACGCTCACACACACTCACTCGCACGCTCACACACACTCACTCGCACGCTCACTCACACTCGCACACTCACTCACACTCACTGGCACTCACTCGCACGCTCACTCACTCACACTCACTCGCACACTCACTCACTCACACTCACTCGCACGCTCACTCACACACACTCACTCGCACGCTCACACACACTCACTCGCACGCTCACACACACTCACTCGCACGCTCACTCACACTCGCACACTCACTCACACTCACTGGCACTCACTCGCACGCTCACTCACTCACACTCACTCGCACGCTCACTCACTCACACTCACTCGCACGCTCACTCACACACACTCACTCGCACGCTCACACACACTCACTCGCACGCTCACTCACTCACACTCACTCGCACGCTCACTCACTCACACTCACTCACTATCTCACTCGCACGCTCACTCACTCACACTCACTCGCACGCTCACTCACACACACTCACTCGCACGCTCACACTCACTCACTCGCACGCTCACTCACTCACACTCACTCGCACGCTCACTCACTCACACTCACTCACTATCTCACTCTCACACACACACACTCTCACTCACACTCACTCGCACGCTCACTCACACACACTCGCACGCTCACTCACACTCACTCGCACGCTCACTCACACTCACTCGCACGCTCACTCACTCACACTCGCACGCACACTCACACTCACTCGCACGCTCACTCACACACACTCGCACGCTCACTCACACTCACTCGCACGCACACTCACACTCACTCGCACGCTCACTCACACACACTCGCACGCTCACTCACACTCACTCGCACGCTCACTCACACTCACTCGCACGCACACTCACACTCACTCGCACGCTCACTCACTCACACTCACTCACTCACTGACACACACTCTCACTCACACTCGCACGCTCACTCACTCGCACGCTCACTCACACTCACTCGCACGCTCACTCACACACACTCACTCGCACGCTCACTCACACACACTCACTCGCACGCTCACTCACACTCACTCACACGCTCACTCACTCGCACGCTCACTCACACACACTCGCACGCTCACTCACACACACTCGCACGCTCACTCACACTCACTCGCACGCTCACTCGCACACTCACTCGCACGCTCACTCGCACACTCACTCGCACGCTCACTCACACACACTCGCACGCTCACTCACACACACTCGCCGCTCACTCACACTCACTCGAACGCTCACTCGCACCTTCACTCACACACTCTCACTCACTCACTCACTGACACTCGCTTGCACACTCACTCGCTCACACGCACTCACGCTCACACACACTCGCACGCTCACTCACACACACTCGCACGCTCACTCACACACGCACTCACGCTCACTCACACTCGCACGCTCACTCACACTCACTCGCACGCTCACTCACACACACTCACTCGCACGCTCACTCACACACTCTCACTCACTCACTGACACTCACTCACACGCTCACGCTCACTCACTGACACTCGCTTGCACACTCACTCACTCACTCACTCACTCACTCACTGACACTCGCTTGCACGCTCACTCTCACGCTCTCACTCACTCACTCACTGACACTACTCACATGCTCACTCTCAATCCCTTACTTACTCACTCACTCGCACGCTCACTCACTCACTCACTCACTCACTCACTCACTCACTCACTGACACTCGCTTGCACGCTCACTCTCACGCTCTCACTCACTCACTCACTGACACTACTCACATGCTCACTCTCAATCCCTTACTCACTCACTCACTCGCACGCTCACTCATTCACTGACACACTCACTCACTCACTCACTGACACTCGCTTGCACGCTCACTCTCACGCTCTCACTCACTCACTCACTGACACTACTCACATGCTCACTCTCAATCCCTTACTTACTCACTCACTCGCACGCTCACTCACTCACTCACTCACTCACTCACTCACTCACTCACTCACTCACTCACTCACATGCTCACTCACTCACTCACTCACTCACTCACTCACTCACTGACTCACTGACACTCACACTCACTCATACACACTCACTCTCACACACACACACACATTCATACAGACCTCGGGTGCGATGTGAGCACAGCAGGAAATGCCAGTGCGAGTACGCTTATTTATAACTATAGTTTTGCTTCAATCATACACTCACAAATATGCGGGGATAAAAACAACCCAGTTTGGGTCATTTTGGCAACCCAGGCCAGCGCTGGGTCAAAAATGGACAAACCCTTTCGATTCGTTTTTTCCAAACATATTACTGTCATAAGTGCGTGAACACTGATAGGTGAAGTGGTATATCGGCACAAAACCCAACATTCTCAACCCAGCTTTTGGGTTGAAAACATAACCCAGCGTAAAAAAAAATCAAGTGCCAACCCAACATAGAACCAGAATTATTTCACATACAAAAGTCACAAAATTGTCCTGATAATCAAACATTCAAATGTATGAATTTTTGCACAAAACAAATTGTCCCATATATATATATTGTGCCGACAGTCAAAATGGTCATCGATGTTGATGGAGGTTTTGCTTCTTTGTGTATATCATGGCATGTAAATATATGCGTGTTGTTTTCAGTAGAACGGCTTACATTTATTGACAAGACATCAGAACTCGCTTCAGTCTGAACGCTGGATTTCTGTGGCACTGAATTGTAATATTTTCTTTTAGCATTTCCCCTCTCTCTCCAATATAGCAGGAGACAGAACTGCAGAACATGTGTTGCTGATCAGTCACGAGCCACCAGATTTGTGGCCTGAAATAGTCTCAACTTAGACGTTTTCCTCTTAAATGGTAAAAGATTGAGAAGGAAAATTAGGAGTGGGAAGAATGTGAATTTGAAGCGAGAGAGAGAGAGAGAGAGAGAGAGAGAGAGAGAGAGAGAGAGAGAGAGAGAGAGAGAGAGAGAGAGAGAGAGAGAGAGAGAGAGAGAGAGAGAGAGAGAGAGAGAGAGAGAGAGAGAGAGAGAGAGAGAGAGAGAGAGAGAGAGAGAGAGAGAGAGAGAGAGAGAGAGAGAGAGAGAGAGAGAGAGAGAGAGAGAGAGAGAGAGAGAGAGAGAGAGAGAGAGAGAGCTTCACAATGAATAGACAAAAATATTTCTGCCCTATAATGTTCAGCTGGTGGTCAAGTGTTTTATATTAATAACTGCTTATAATAACAGAAGCACAAAAATAGCCGAAATATCAACATGCTTTGAAACTAATGGAATATTAAAGGAATAATCTACCCTAAACTGAACGTTCAGTCATTGTTTACTTGCCTTCGCTGTTCCAAACCTGAGTGTGCTTGTGTTTCAGCAGTGTGACGTAGTCCTGGGTTAACTTGTTTATGCTTTACAGCATATCACATCATAAGTCATATTTTTGTTGAGCTTAACTTTGAACTGTTTTTTCATGGTCTCTGTTCTTTTGGATTGACATGAATGAATTAATTCAGGTTTTATTTGCTTCTGTTTAGTGCATTTATATAGGAGCCCAGTTCTGCTACATAATAAAAAATGTTTTTGTAAATCATAATTAATTATGACATAAAAATCTGAAATGATGGCATAGTAATGTATGTCATAAGTCTTGTCAATGTCTTAAGTCATAATGATGACATTAAAAATGTGAAATTCTGACATAATTTCGTAATCCTTAATTTAGTGAATAATTGAATAATGAATAATTATGATTAAGTATGCCATAATTTTCTTAAGTCAAAATTGACATAAGAAGATGACCCTGGAACGTCATAATTTGGACTTTTAATAAATAAAATTATATATCAAAGGTTGACAGACAAAAAGCCATGATTATTATGGTATAGAAAATCATAATTTCTACATTATCTCATAATTTCAACTGCATCTCATAATGATATATGTTATAATTTGGACTTTTTATTTTTAAAAATCAAAAGTTGACATTCACATAAAAACACATGATGATTATGGTATAGAAAAAATCATAACTTATACTTTTAATCTCACAATTTCAACGTCATAATTATAACTTAGTATGTCATAATTGTTGCTTCTTTATGTCATAATTGGCAGAAATGGGCTTCCATAGACATAAACTGAGTGTTAAAGCGGTTTACAAAGGAATCCATCAGTCGGCAGTTTCAGTTTGTGGCGTCGTCTTTGAAAACTCCCCTTTCACAGCAGAAACAGTGAAGCTCCGTCACACTCCAACATCGTTT